TTCCTTTCTTTCCTTTCTTTCCTTTCTTTCCTTTCTTTCCTTTCTTTCCTTTCTTTCCTTTCTTTCCTTTCTTTCCTTTCTTTCCTTTCTTTCCTTTCTTTCCTTTCTTTCCTTTCTTTCCTTTCTTTCCTTTCCTTTCTTTCCTTTCTTTCTTTCCTTTCTTTCCTTTCTTTCTTTCTCTATCCTCATTATTAGGAGACAAGGATAAAGCGCATTGTACATGTGATTTATAAAATGTTGGGATTCACTGTCCTGCTGTAGTTTCTTTCCAGCTCAACTGTCAAGACAGTTCAGGTATCTGCTGGTCACTGATTCCCTTTGCACCAATAGATTCATTGGCCTGACAAGCACAGTTGCTCTGGAAAATCACTGTCTCAGAAAGAACAGTCTGGTATTAACCCTCCAGTGGCTTTGAAAGTTAATGTTTTGATTTGGTATGTGATAGGGTTCCTATAGAATATTCCCAGCAGAAGAAGGAAGGACATTTATTCTCTTTTGCTAATAACCTCCTGGGTAATTGATTTCAATCACATAATGACTTGCTCAGGTCACTGCTAAACCACTCACCTTCTTTCCTTTGCATTTCCCTCTATCAAATAACATCCAGATTTGTCTAAATATTTCCATTGCTCTGCTCAGTCTGTCTGCGTACCTAAGAAAATGACAAACTTTAGCTGATAATTTGCTGCAAACCTCTCCCTTCTTTGCTCTTTGTCTACAACATCAGGGCAGTGTGCACAGCTTTTGTTTGCGTTTTGTTTTCTTTGAAATACTTGCACATAGTTTACATGTCCTTCTAAACTACTGCTTAGCTAAGCAGGAAATGTTGAATTCGTATAACATTTCCCATCAGCCTCTCCTTCCAGCCCTTTAAAACTGTGTTATGATTCTTTGAAGTCTTTTCTATTAGTCTACATTATTCAGAGGCTGTGGTGTGCATAAGTACATGCAGGAGCGCAGGTGCAATCTTTATGGCAATCTCAAGAAGAAAGCAGAGAGACATCAAGTAGCACAGAGTGTCATAGGGCCAATGCAATAATGCTGGGTGTTCCATGTTCATTAGCACGTATGAGTATACACAGGTTTGAGACTTACCAGAAAACGGCTGCAGTGAAAGTTAACGAAGGGCTACACAAAATGCCCAGCTTCCAGAAGACAAGTGAAAAGCTGCAATCTGTAGGCAGAGAAGAAAAGCTAACAATAATACCAGGACCGAAAGAGAACGGAAAATTTCATTAATGGTAGCAGCAAGTACATACTGGGCAGTTTATTCCCCTGGGTGTGTCTGAGCGCAGGACGAGTTGAGATACAGCTAAATATAGTGCGCTTGTGCAAAAACCAGTAACACTATTAAAAATGTTCATAATTTTCTAAGCAAAGCAGGTAGAAAGTGTTTCTAAGCCCCATTATTACACAGATCACCTTTGAAGGGTGGTTCCCCATTATGTTTCCAGATATTGCCCTCAAGGAGTGGCTCCATTTCCCATTGTGTGATCAAATTTCACAATCTTCTGTGAAACTGCCAGCTCAGCACCTGCTGGAGTTAGGAGTGATTTCCAACGCAGCTCTTCATTGCAGAGCTGACACGAAGTTCGTTTTACACAGGAGTTGCAAGTGATAAATTTGTTAATGAGAAGGGGACGTCTGCCTTCTTCTCTGCCTTCTTCTCTGCCCTCTCTAAAAAGCAAGTGCTGTACAAAACCACAAAATACAGGTTTCCCACACTGTATGCCAGTGAGTAAGTGGGTGACTCGCAGTCACCTCCTCCATTTTCCCTGGAGTTATGGTGCTGTCTTGCCTTGCCTTGCCCAGACACACACACACACAGACACAGGCACAAGTTCTACAGGCACATACATGTACACCCAAGAGAATATGAAGGACTTAACCTGGTAAACATATACATTTCTACGACACACGACCACACCAGAAAACCAGCTGAATTTTAAGCAGGCTAGTGCAATGAAAATAGCTTACATTTGAGAAAGCCACTTTGTCATCAACACCTCGACAGAAATTTGTAAATGGCATGCAAGTGATGCAAGGGTCACCTCGTCAGGCACTGAAACCATAAACTGACTTAACAGAACACATGACAATCTTAAAGCCAAAACAGGACGAAGCCAGCATGTCTTTTTAATCCTCAGGTTGGTTTGGAGAAACCAAAAATTTGCTCCCAGTAATTTCAAGCTATTAAAATTAACTTAAAGAAAGCCTTTGTTGTATAACACTGAAACCTTGAAATCCACCTAGATCTTGCAATTTAATTCCTAAGCTCTCATTAAAAACAAACAAAAATATCTGCTTTGAAGGAAGCCTTATCATATAACGTGCAAAAAAAATAATTCTCAAAAATATAAAAAGCATTTTCCGAAAACAAAATACAAACCAACAGAGACTTGAAGGTCTTGTGTCTTATCCAAGAGCCATCAGCACGTATGTAAATACGGACCTTTCTGCAGAAGCTGTAAGAGCAGTTCCACGCTCACCCCCGGAGGTAATTCCTCCCTCAGATAACTACGACACGTTGGCAGCAGCGTGCATCTTAGCCCAAAACCCCAGCTCCATTTGACGTATTTATTGTCAAACAACTCTTTGCTCTCAGTTGCTTTTAGTGTCTGCAAAGGCAAAATCAAAGTTTAGAATTTCTACGACGATGAAGAGCCAAATAAAGAACAAAAAAACCCACAGAAATACAAGGACTTAGGAAACGCGTAACTTGAAGTCATCAAGGAATTACACAACCCTCCCTTTTTTTTCCAACACGGAACCAATAAAACTATTTACAACTTGATTCACTGAACTTTACGATTTGAGCTAGTAATGACCAAGGTGCCAAAGTCTGGAAATGCAGTGGTTTGAACACACTAATCACCTGGTGTCCAAAATAACAACTGTTTAATAGAACTTAATCACTACTGTGAGTGCAGAGCATTTTCTCCTATTAAAGAAACATTTAATATTATTTATCCTTTAATGATACTAACAGATCGAAAACATCGAGTTGCTATTTGGGTTGTACAGATTCCCTTGCAATGTGCCATCTGTTTGCTGCAGGCACTCCACCAGGGCATGCCCAAAATGCCTAAATCCAGGCCAAGCACCTAGTCTGGTGCTGATCTCCTTCAGAAAACACCCTTAAATAGCTGAGGGGAAAGTAATGGAACAAGAGGAACACTTTTCAAAGGCAGTGCATGACAGCATAGCTGCAAAATTAGAAGTGTAGTAATCAATGCAGTTAAAGAAAAATTCATTCAAATCGTCAAAAAGAAAAAAAAACACCAAACCACAAACTGACTTGAAAACAGACAAGGGTTAATTAAAGGGTTCAACCCCTATACGTTGTTATGTATGATTTAGATCAGACCAGATGCAACTGCTTCAAGGCTTATACTTTGTAGATTTATGTAAGGTATCTATCTTGATAAAGCATCAGTCGTGACTGCTTTTAGGTGATACTGTACTTGAAATATTAACATTAAGTATGCTAAACTAGAACATCAAACCTTTGCTTCAAATTTATACTATTCAGCCGACGTCAGATTAGAATGAAGGGTCTCTTGCCAACCTAGCAGCATTACCGGAATTTCCTCCTTTCCCTTGATAATGTCCAGTCTATAAGAAGCAGAGCGATCTCAAGTTTTCCCAATGCCTGCCACTGAGATCTATGACTTTCTATTCTTCAGACAGAGAAACCAAATTTCATTCATTCTGCTGATGACAGAGCTTGTCCTTTCTTTCTAGTGGTCAGAGCTGTCCATGAAACCGTTGTCCACATTAATATGGAACTGCACAGCGTTGAGGAGCAAGCTGTGTGCAAAAGCAGAAGGGGAATACGGTCCCGGCACAGTTTGCTGTTACGGCACCAGCTCTCCCGGTTGCCTATCAAGGAGGTCTTTGGCAGTGAGTAGTGGTTATTCTGGAGCAGTTGTAGCAACGGCAAAAGGAAAGTCACATTTCCCTTTTTGCTGTAGCACTATCCTGATGAGACTTGCTAGGAAATTCAAAAGGATCCTCTTTATTTTTAAGACGTCTGTCACCTGAAGGGAGTTTGAATTTTCCCTCCTTATTCTTACCTCTGGCGATATCATTACTGCTACATGAAACATGCAATCATAAATCATTTGTCTGCATTGCAGATAACAGTTGTACAATGCAAGCTTCCTCACACCTGTGCTTTTCCTTTTCTCTTCAGACCTAAGCAAGCGGTGTTGCGGTATCGAGAGCTACAACCGGTACTGAAGAAATAACAGTCCCAGAAGACACTACCTAGCCAACCTGAAGTAATCTTTGTCACTCCTTTAGCGTTATATCTTCATCAACCGGGCTACATAGAAAATAGTAACATCATCAGAATTTGTTCAGATGATTTTTAGAGACTTGCAAGCTTAGAGATGAAGACGGAACTGTTTTTCCTCTAATTAGTGGTGAAAGCCGGTGACCACACTTAGCACTACAGTAGCCCCTCTGGACAGTCCCAACAGAGAGATCAGCGAATGGCACAGGATGAAACAAACTCCACCTTCACGCTTATGCATTATGTCTTCATTTAAGATGCTCTGACAGTTGATAGAAAGCATGGTGTATGGACAAAATACAAATTAATTTCTGAAATATATTCAGAAAAGGCTGACGTAGAGCTGTGAGAGGGCCAGGTTCTCTCTGCCACCCTGGCTCCAGAAACAGAGGTCTCTCTCCTGAGTGTGCGCTGTGTGTTTCTGTGTTTTGGCAGAGATACTGTAAGAAAAAAACCCAAACAACCCATGCAGCTTATTAGCTTAGAAGAAAACTCTTTGGTCTGTTTACACTGTAACCACACACCTGTATCTCAGAAATATGAGACAACTGGTGGGGAAAGGGGAGGGGATGGAGATCTTTAGTTTCCTCTGCACCAGGTGCAGTCAAGTCTGTAATATCTTTGCAGCCACTATTTTGAATCAGTGCCACTCTTGGCCTAC